AGAATCAACAAACTGGATCTTACGTGTATGTTCTCCTACTCTCCCCTTTACAGTATGTTATTTTGCATATGCGGATTTTCCCGCTTACTGTAATTCACTTTTGTAATAATAAAGGTCTCTCACAGTGTGGCTGAGGACATCAAATCTGATCTGAGAATTCTTAGTTCGCTTTTTCATTGTCTGGCCGCATATGAAGAACAGTCCGTAATTCAAAAATTTTTTGTTACATTTTACTTTGCTAACAACGGAATGAACAACGATTATTTAATTGAATTCACGATTTTCGAGCCGGTGAACTTGTTGCTTTTACCTCCCTATTCTGGCAGTTGGAAGTTTGAAATCCGATTCTCCTGAGTGTGACCACACAGGTAACTCAATGACATAAACCGGAAGTTATCAATTTCAAACACGACTCCCGTGTGCACTGTCCCAGTTTCAAGTCACCTGAAAATATTGGTCTGCTTTATCTGAGTGACATTAATTAGAATGAGGATTAACCAACAGTTGTGCTTCTCATGCATCCCCACTTTGACACTAATGATTGAAGCGATCATCAACGATGTCCGTTTCCCTGGCTATTATTGTTGGGCAACGATTAGAGAGTTCACAACAACTGCCGAAAGATAGGAGAGATTACTCACTCCAAATTGGCCTTTGCCAATCGGATCTCGTTCCAATTGTAATTCGGCAGGATCAAGTTCGAATTCATCTAAGCCCATGCCTGCAGTGACAGGACTTTCCCGATCCTTGGTCGGTGGGGAACGCAATCGGACAACGAGACCACCCGAATTGTGCTTGTGATAGTGAATCACATCGCTAATTGTGGGAAATGCATGTTTCTCGGACAGATAGTATTGCGCTTCGGTTGAAGTGCTCGTACCGGGTCCTCCGGTGCGACTCACTCCCCCAGTGCCGTTGTTGACCGCTGCTGTTCCGTTGGTGAGCCCAGTCCCATTTACGTGTCCGTTGGCTGCACCGACAGTCTCCGTTCGATGAATATGATAGTGATGAACCTTCAATTTTCCAGGTCTAAAATGCAAATGAGTGTAACGTGTAATAATGTGTACTAACTGTGGGGTGAACGGTGGAGAAGAGTTCGCAGTGGACGAAAACCGGTATTGCAAATGAGGTTATTGTGACGGTCTAGTACTTCCAGGGAAATTTTGTCCAGTCATTCAAAAACTAATTATATATATATATGAAAAAAAATGAGCTAAGTGAGAAGGAATCAGTCTACAAACTTTCAGTATTGCATCCTGGTTCACACAATTCACGATTGCAAATGATTAGCCAGTGTTCGGTTTTAGTGCTCTGTGGAGTGAATTTAAGAAATCACTTGATACGCTTCGTTTACAGTGATGTTCGTACTTAGCATAGTTGCAAAACAAAGTTGAATGACTAAACCACTTTGGGGGGATAGTGATGGTATCTTGAAATATAAAAATGAACAATCAGGACAGGTAGCAATGACTGATCAAGCACTTTTTAGATGGAGAAGCAGAACGAGAAGCGAGACAGGCCCGGGTTTGCACACTTACGCTTCTGGATCCTTTGAGGTTACGGAGAGGGTGTATGTGTTTTTCTTGCTAACGGAATCACGAACCAAGAAGCAACCCTCGCGGTTCTCGTCCAACAGAATCGCCTCAGCCTGTTGTCGAGTGATGTCTTTGTAGTACCAACTATGTTGTGGCAGGGAAAAGAAAAGCAACAGAACAGTGAGAATTAGAGTGTATAACATGAGACGATGGATTATTGCAAATGACGTGGCCGATTCAGAATGATTTGATAAAAAGATAACAGCGCCTATTATCTGTAATCGCCAATGTCACATTGAGAGCACCGGTGTTTGATGGGCACTGCAAATCAGTGTGCTTGACCATTTGTTCAATCTGACCAAATGTATTGCGCTCTGGTGGGAAATAGGTCCACTTCAAATGAATTATCGGGTGCTCGACGAATCAAAAAAACTGCAACAGTAAAAGTTATCGGAGAAAGAATATTCGTCATTTACCAAACGGAGCAGTTTCGCAGGTTGAAGAAGAAACTAAATTACAACCTTTTTGTATTTTTTTAATGTGGTAAGGCTGTGGACTTATTCTATTTGCCATAAAAATTCTTGTGTCATGATGTGGTTGGCACACGAAGACCGGTTTAAACTACACATTTCACAAACTCGATATCAGGACAGGTATCAAGGGGTAAGCAAAAAATGTATAAGAGATATTGGGGTAAAGGGGGACAATAAGACCCACACCCGGCGCGCGTATACACGTCA